CCCGCTGTGTCTTTAGAAGATTTTCCCCTGCCCACGTAAAAAAAAAACAACAAAAACACACACACACACACAATGTACTACCCTATTGGGAGATCGGTCGGGAGCCCCGCTGGTGCTGGACCCTGCGTGGGCTGCTACTTCACACCAAATCATGTTCTTCTAGGGGGCACAAGTCTCCTGGTTGGTCCCTAAGTTTTATGCTCTTTACCCTAATCCCCCCGCGACGCACAAGTACGCCGCCAGACTGCTATCCTGATCCTGTCGCAACGCAGTTCGACCCTCTCTGCAATCTCCCCCATTCGATGCTTGGGTTGGGTCGATCTGACGGCTTAGATAAAAGGCTACTAGCTATGCAGGCTAGTACCGGAGTCAAATCAATGCGCCGGCACAAGTCCCTCCTCTTTGCCCAGAGGGTCGGGCCTGTGCTGCGACGAAGCCGAGGGCCCAACAGGGAACCATTCAAACTAAGGTTCGGAGCCCTTTTCCCGTCTCCTCACTGCTTAAACCTTTAGGTTATTGAGTATCGCCGAAACCCGGGCAACCTGGCGGGTGGTATCAGGTTCCCGCCGGACTTGTATCTATGGATTGCAGAGCATTCCGAAGAACCTCCTTCACCCGATCCTGCTTAAAGGTCGACGTGCTCATCGACTGGTGGGTTACGGGGCAAGTCCGTCGACCAGGAGCTTAGCATCGCTTACTCACTGCCTCCACCTTGAAGCTATCGACGTGGGTGTCGCCGCGAAACTCTGAGTCTTGGTGGTGGGAGAGACGATTCTAACTTTTCGATTTCAAGCGGATTCTCTTTTTACCATCTTGCCCAGCTAGAGCCTTTCTTTTGAAGGAAAAATCTTTCTTTACAATTTGTAGTAGTTATAGGATGTTGCCGATTTTTTAAAAATATTTTGCAATTTTCGAAAATTCAGTGTTAACAATGAACATAGGACTTATGCCACCTTCACAAGTGTATTTTATTCTTTTCTTACAAGAAGTTTAAAGATAAAATGTAGAATAATTTTTGAGAAAATTTGAAAAATGTCCCGGGGCTTCATGTAAAGTACCCCCAAAAGTTAATGAGTGTTTTTTAAAATCGCAGAGCTTCGTTTCAGGCCAGATGGACAGGGGTTCTTCAATTTCGATGGACATACAGGCGGAGAATATTGAAGTTTTAACAAGATCAAACACTTTTTAGCTATAAATTTTCTCAAAAATTGCACCATTTTTTAAATATTAAACTCTACCCATTTCGTAAGAAGAGAAAGTTATTATGTAATCGGGAAAACAGTCACTTTTCAGCAGAAATACTCATTTTGGGACTTTGGTAACAAAAATGTGGATAAATCCTATTGCTTTAAATTGTCAGTTACTTCCTTTATCACTGTGGTGTTGCCAAAATCCATGTTTTGTAGGTCCTTGATACTGGAAAATCGATTCATGGGAAAACGTTTGTGTGTCCGTGTGTGGTCAACGCACGGGCCTAAATCGTTCCGCCAGTTTTCTCCAAAATTGATATTCGTGGAGAGATGTGAATTATCTCGACGCTTTTGGAGTTTAAAACGTCTCTTTTGATTTTTGACGGTTCTTCAAACGAAGTCTCAAAAACATTTTCAAAATATTTTGAGAAATAGTTCCAATTTTTGATTAATCTTTGTCCTCGAATAGCGTAAAGGGTGTTTAAGAGAAGTTCGTGTTGTGTTCCTGGAAAACCCAAATTTTTAGACTTTCTTCAACTTCTTTTGGGGGGGGGATGGCGTTACCCTACAACTACAATATTGAAAATTGAGAATTGTTTCTTAATGAAATCTGTTCCGTAAATCCATCTTCAAATAAATTCATGTTCCATTTTTTAAAATATTGAGTAGTTTTCGAGTAATGTTGCTCGAAATATAGGCTATTTTTTAAAACATTTTTTTCTCGAAAAATGCTCCTTTTTTTCTTTTATTTGCCTCACAAGTGTCAAGAGACGGTAAAACATGTGCTCGTTCTACTTTTGGCAAACTATCCGTATTTTGGAAAATTGCAAAAAGTTAACATTTGAAAACCACAAAATTGTCTATCTTCGCGGGCGGCCGTACGATCTGCCAACGCCGCCTTCTCGATGCGACGTTCGGCATTGCTTCGCGGTGGCCCCGAAATGGGTCTTCTGCTATGGGAATGCTCGTCTACCCATCGTCGCCACCATCGCAGCACCAGCGTCCAATCACAGCCCTCGTGGTCAGCAATGCGCCGATAGACCACCCGGCGTCGCGCCGACCGACAATTCGACCACTCTCAAACTGGTCGACTCTCAAACTGATTGGTTAAAAACGAACGAGTGCGACGCGTGGCGTACTTAAGTCTCTACTAGACCGTATCGCAGTGGACAGCGCCTTTTGAAGCCGCGGAGTAGATGGCGCGAACGAGCCATATCGTCACGCTACCATTACGTCACTGGGCGCCACTCATCCGCGAAATGTTAATCACGGCTTCTACGACCTCCCCCCATCCTTAACGTTTCTTATCGTGTACTTAATTTCTCTTCCCGGTGTTGCAATACTTTTTTCCGCCAGTGTATAATAATTAAATATAGTTTTATATCCATCAAAATAACTCATAACACACATAAACAAAATAACTAATAACGTTTTTACATGCATTACTCTTCATTTCCACATATTATTGAGCAAATCGAAATCATGTATTCGTTTTCACATTTAACTCAATTAAAGGACGCAAATTAAAGCAGGGTTTAAAGAATTTCTAAAATATTAATTTTAAATCGTATAACAAATGCTCGAATGTAAGAAACGAACAAAGAAAAATGAAATAATACTCAATTTCTAACTTACGTAACATCCAACTGCCTAGCATCACCGCTCATTTTATGTTCACTAAGCGCAGTAAATTCGGAAAGGACGACTAGATTGGTCGCCAAAATTACACAAAAATACTCATATTTTTAAAAAAATCAACATAACCTTATTTGAAGATGTTTTTGATGAACACATTTAATCAAGAAAAAAGTGTCTTCATAATTGTAGTTGTAGAAAGACCGAGAAAATATTTTGAATTTTTAGTTTTCGGAAAATCAAGGTTTTCAACAAACATGAGAAGTGCACCATTCTCATAAACGTTCTTCAGACTATTCAAGAACAAAATTTTATCAAAAACTGTTTGGAACAGTTTTTGAGAAAACCATTATTTACACAAAATGAAAATTTACCTATTTTTCTCGCACAATTACGCGAACAATACTCCAATTTTCGAAAAATTTGACATGACCTTATTTAAAAATTTTTAAAGAACGGATTTTATTCAGAAAAACTCTATCTCAAATATTTTACTTATTGATAGTCACCGTCAAAAGTTTGAATTTTTACAATTTTCGAAATATGAGAGTGTTTAACGAAAATGAGTCCTGAACCATTCTCTAAAACGTTCTTTATACTATCCAACAAAAAAAATTTATTAAAAAAGACACTCTTTGATAGTATTGAAAATGCCTCTGGGGGTTCATGTAAAGAACCAACAAAATTAAAATATCGCTTTCAAATTCAGAGGACCGCGACATCACCCAGATCAATCTGGGACAATTTTGCGCAGCATGACATAACTTTCTCTCTACCGCGGTAGCGCGAAAGTTAAAATTAATTTTCTCTAAAAACGCCATTTTGTCTTTAGAGTTTCTTCTTGTATGTATCAAGTGACGGTAAAAAGATGGTGTTAGTCCCATTTTCGGCAAACTCTCCGTATTTCCGA